GAGGGCAGTGTCACTGGCCCTCACATGTGGGATCTGAACCGGGGCCCTCTGGCGTCCCAAGCCAGTTCTTAAACAACGCGCCTTTACTGCGTTTCTTGTTCATGGGTCCTTGAGGCCTCGCAGGACCCAGCCCAGAGATCCTCCTTGGCCTGCTTGACCTAGGGACACGGTGGATTTGACACATGTACCCCGTGCAGCTGAGCCACGCATGGGGCTCGGGTGGGGAAGAGCCGGCCTGCCCAGCCTGGTGCTCTGTTTCTGCTGGGGAGAGAATAGCGGACATTGTCCCCCATAAGGCCAGCATCCCGGTTAGTCACCCATTCTCATTCATAACCTGGTGTGAGTGAATTACATTGCAGGTGTTTCTGTGTCTCGCCACTAGGCTGCGAGTGACTCTTCATTCTTGTATCGTGGCCTAGTGCCGGGCACAGAGTAGGCGTTTAATGATCCTTGACTACGTGAATGAAAGCAGCAGGGTCCGGACCCTGGCAGTGGCCCCTGACGGGTCCTGTGTCTCCTCTGTGGAGTGACATTTTACAAATGGGGACCGCTTTCCCTCTCTGGCCATGGTGCAGCCCTGGCAAGGGGAGTGGGGGCCCTCCAGCCGTGGGCCACTAGGAGAACCAGCCTGCCTCTCCCTCTCCTGCAGGGATTAGCACCCTGCACTGTCATGGGGGCCCCCCACCGGCTGAGGCTGGGCCCTGCCTGCCGATGGCTGTCCCCGATTACTGGGGCCTGAGCCGACCTTTGCCACAGCAGGGTTTTATTAGTGCGAAGGTCCCCGTTATCAATTGCCCTTGCCTTTTATGACTTCCCAGGGGCTTTATCTCAGCGGCCGCCTCGCCTCCAGGCTAAATGAGGATTAATATTTTAACAGGATTATGTGCTGTGGGTTAGCAGTGCTCGGGGGACAACAGGCGCACCCCTCCCTCAGCCACTGTCCGGGTGTGCAGGGAGGCGGGGGTCCCAGGAGTTGGAGCCATCTTCTTGAGACTCTGGAAAGGGGCGTGGGGGGGAGGCTGGGGATAGACTCTGGAGGATAAGGGATGGTTTGTCTTGAAGAGCAGGTCTGTCCTGGGGTAGGGACTGCCCTGCAGGGCGAGGTCCCTGTAGAGGCTGCAGACTGTTTCCTGGAGTCAGCGGGCTTGACCCCCATTGGGGAGAAGGAGAAAGANCCAGTGCCAGAGGGCCCAAAGGTGTAGTTTTCTCTCCGACTGGGAGGATGGAACCTTCCCTTTCGGTCCCAGGGCTCCAGGGAGGACCCAGCAGGGCTGTGTAGCTCACTGTCGGGTCCTCATGAGAGCCCAGCTGCCACCTCCCTCGGGACCCGGCTTAATAGCCCTCTGTGTCAGGAGCGCTGGGACTCCCAGGGTGGGAAGTGGGTCTCCTGTGGGGCTCACGTGGTCACGGCCTTTCCTGGCCAGGTCCCTCTCCCATCTCCCCGCCTGCCATCCAAGTGGGTGTGGGGGCAGCCTACCTGCCTCTGGGCCGTGATCCAGATGGGCACGCTGCCGTTGTCCCACCACCTCGTGATGCCCAGCGTGGCATGGTAGGGCAGCTTCACCTTGCTGGTGGTGTTGTAGTACATGTTGTGGACCACTCCATGGTTCTCAATGTATTTGCCTGCGGGGGAGGAGGCGGCAGAGGGCAGGTAGGGGACCGCACAGCCACACAGGGGTGAGGCAGGCTGGCTTTGTCACATGGTGCCCGTGGGCCTGCAGTTGCGGTCACAGCACGTGTTCTGTGACCCAGCGGTCCTGCTTCCATGTGTAGCAGTGCGCCCTGCAGCTAACGGTGCACATGGGGGCAGGTGCGCACCTGCGGGGACATCACTTGCAGCCTCCTTGGTTTTAGCAAAAGATCGGGAGATACCTGGGTGGCTCTTAGGAGGGAGCTCATGAAATAAATTAGGGTCCAGACATAGAATAGAATCCTAGGCAGGAATTTAAGTGAACCAGGTGGAGCTCCAAGAGGTAGCTTTTAAAATTTGCTTGATGCAAGGGAAATGCACGCACGTGAGTTCAGAAGGTGAGGAGGAGGGACGCTGATGAGAATGTCCCCTCCTCCCCCTCCGCATCTGCAGTGTATTAAGGAAGAAGGTGATGTGGAGAAGGGAGAACCAGGTGTGGTGTCGCCATGTATGTGTATCGGGGCCATGGTCATAGAAATGCTGGTGTGAGGATAAGTCGTCTGTACTGAATATTATCCCCCAAAATTGTGCCACCCAGAGCCTCAGAATGTGACCTTGTTTGGAAACAGAGTCATTGCAGATGTAAGTAGTTAGGTTAAGATGAAGGTCTTCTGAATTGGGGGGGGGACGGTCTTATATCCACTGACAGGTGTCCTTATAAGGGGAGATACACACAGGGGAGCCGGCCATGTGACAAAGGGTGCAGGCATTGGAGTGATAGGCCACAAGCCAAGGACTGCCTGGGTCCCCAGAAGTCGGGAGAGGCAGGAAGGATTCTCCCTTAGAGCCTCCGGAGGTGTGCGTGGCCCTACGACACCGAGATTTTTGTTCGCAGGCAGCTGGGGGTGGGGGTGGGGGTGGGAGTGGGGCGAGCAGCAGAGAGCAGGAGCCGCAGGCTCATCTCCCCACCTTTCTGAATCCCAGCCAGACTCACCTCCTCCAGAAACCCTCCTGGGTTGCCACCCTGGTTGTTGTCACCATTTAAAATGAGACCACTGGTCGTATTTATTTGCCCTCTATCAGTTGCCACCAATGGTGAGGGTTACTGACATTCCCCTTGGCTGCGCTGTCTCCCCAGTGAGAATGTCTCCTCCTTGTCTCACCTTTGTCCCTGCACGGTGTCCCCCAGGACAGGGCTGTATGCATGCACTGGGGTTCCTTCTGTTGGTTCCCCTGGTTTCTCAGCACAGCCCTCCCGCCCACCCCCCACACACACTGGGACCGACCCCGAGACTCACCAGTGACCAGGGTGAAGTGGCAGGGGCTGGTCATGGTGACGAAGGCCGGGGTCATGTAGCGAGCTTTCACCCCCTCGCGCGCCATGGCGTCCAGGTTGGGGGTGGACACCTTCTGGTCATAGTTCCAGCGGAAGCCGTCGAAGGACACCAGGAGCACCTTGTTCCGGGAGCCCTGCCGCTGGACAGGCGCCCCAGTCCCTGGAGCCAGGAGGGTGGCCAGAGCCACGGTGAGAAGGGCAGCTGAGCGGCTCATGATGGGTTCTCCAGACTCGCAAATGCCCAGGCAGTTTCCTGCTGAGGAGCAGAGCAAAGTCCCAGGGTCATTCACACTGATCTTATCCTGTGAATCTTTCAAAAAGAGACTGAGTACATACCTGTGTCTCAGAAAGAGGCCCCTGGTCGCCTGTGTCCGTGCCACCCCTGGCCCGGCCCTCACGAGGCACCCGCCTTTATTGCCAGTGGCGCCCTCAGGGCTGAACGCTCCTCCCCGCTCCAACACCTGTGTCCTCATGGGGGCGGGTCAGGACCAGTGCCCGGAGGCTTGGAGAGCAGATGGGGGCTCACGCCATGGGGATGGCCTGTGCCCCCACCCTTGCTCTCATAGCAACTTTTGGAACCTGTGCCCTGCTCACTGTGACCATGGAGCACCCGGGTGGGGGCCCACCTCTCTAGCCAGTACTTTGGGGTGGACTTTGGGGTTCATAGGCCTCAGGCTGGCTTGGGCCAGGGCTGTGGGGTGGGCTTCCCAGGGTTCGGATGCGGAGGACCAGCAGCTCAGCCCAAGGCTGGCCTTGTCCGCAGGGAGCCCCAGCCTGGGAGAGCACTTCTTGCCCTCTCTGCTCGTGTGAAGGGGCCTCCTGGGATGGGGCGGGCAGAGAGCCAACCTGATAGCCCCGATTAGAGCCGGCCACGCCATCCTGTTTGGGCCCTGTGGATCCTCAGAGAGACACACAGGCAAGGGTGGTCCCATTTGATAGACTTCTTCAACAAGGTGGTCAGAAGAGGGGGCTCCCATGTCACCCTGTGCTCATAGGGAGTGGGGGTGGGGCAGAGGGGCCCTGCGTTCAGTGTGCCGTTCTCGCATTCTCGCTGTGCGTCTCTCCCTACCTACCTATGAAGCATGTTCTGTGTGCCAGGCACTGTTCTACGTTCTGGGGACACGGCAGTGAATGAGACAGCTGGCATTCCTGACTTCTTTCATTCTTGTTGAGGACACACAAAATAAAATGAGTAAATAAATAAAACAGTAAAATAGAGTCATCAAAAAGAAATAAAGCTGGGAGAGGAGATGGGGTGTCTGGCGGGAGCAGGGACAAGGGTGGGGGGGGTGCAGTCCTGATGGGTGGGCCTCGTTAGAAGATGACGGGTGATCCTGGGGTCACAGCTGGCTAACGGGGTCAGGTCAGGTTGGGGATGGCAGGGCCCAGGGGGCCCTGGTGAGGAGTCCCGCATTCTTACGCAGGGGGGGGGGGAGCCATGTGAGGGTTTCTTCAAGGGAGTGGCATCAACTGATCTAACATTTAAAAAAAGGGACTCCCCATTTGCAGGTTAAGGGCCACTGGCAGGAGGAAGGAATGGATGTTGGGTGCAGGGCGGGGAGGTGACTTCTGGTGTCCGGGCAGGAGGTGGCAGTGACCCAGACCGGGGTGGTGGCTGTGGGAGTGAAAGGTGCGGAGGGAGTTTGGAGGTTTTGCTGAAAGGACTTGCTGCCAGATTGCTCGCTGGGGAGACCTCCGCAGCTGGACTACGGTGTCCCCTATGAAGGGGAGGTCAGGGGGGAGGTCATGGGGGACCAGGGACATCAAGCGAGGTGGAGGAGGGGAGTGCTTGGGCTTGGGGCTGGGAGGCGGGCCACGGAGGAGCCTGGATTTTATGCTAGTGGTTTTCTCATATCTATTCTTCCCATCTTCCATAACAAATGGCTGCCGAGAATAACGACTACATTTCCCAGCATTCCCCACAGCGAAAGTTTGACCATGTGACTACATTCTGGCCAATGGGACCAAAGAAAAATGTCGTGCCAACCCCCAGCCTGTTCCACACCAGGTTTGCTCCCCTTCTTTTGTGATTCTTGCTCCCTCTGGTGCCTCAAGCTCAGAGGCTCCCTGAACCGCGATGATGAGGGGCTGGCTCCCCAGGGAGGGCTCACGGAAGGAGCCCAGGACGGCTCAGCCCCGCTGCAACCCCACACAGAGAATCACGCAGTTTGTCTTGGGTTTTCTGTCACTCTCAGCAGGACCCAATTCAAGGCGATAATAGAATGATGGCTCTGGGAGGGATGGCTGCGTTTAAGCCGGGAGTGGCATGACATACATGCTGGTTGCTGCGCGGGCGATAAGTGAGGGGCTGGCTGCAGCCGTCCAGGGTTGAGGCCCCGGCCAGGGGCACAGGGGCACACACCTGGGGTGTGTTTGGGGCCAGAACTGGTCTTGGTGGCCGGTGGGTGTGGGGTGCTGCGAGAGAGATGACTGACTGTTTTCACCCTGCACTTTCTCTGCTGGCGCATGGGGGATGTGGGCATGCCCGCCTGCTAACCCTCACCTGCCTGCCTGGGTCTGGCCTGGAGATGGCAGAAAGGCCAGGCCTGGGGCAGCTCTGCCTCCGCTCTTTGGCTCTGTACCTCACTCAGTTTTGTCGCAGGTAGCTCCTTAGCTCGGCTTCCATAAGTTCCCATCCCCCCCCCCCCTTAGAGCACTTCCACATAAAAAGTGTGGGAGCTGGGACTAGAACCCAGGCCCCAGAACCGCTACGAGATGCTATTGTTCAACAGCCACTTAGGATCCTATTGTCAGGCTTTGGAGCTGTCGATTTTTTCTTTAAAAAAATGGTACAGCTGTGGATATCTTGGTATCGCTGGCTTTTTTTCTTTTCTTTTATACGCGCATTATTTCCTTGGGACACAGTCTCTAGAGAGGGGTTATTGCACAAAAGACGTATAAAAACCACTTGGTTCTTACAACCAGATTTCTGTCAGGGATGGCTGAAGCAGTTACTTATAAGTGTTTCCTCTGCCCCACTGTCTTCATTGGGCTTTATTGTTTATTCCTTTTGGGTGGCTTAATACGTGTATAGTGATGTCTTAAAGCACTAAGTCAGAGAGGCTGGGAGACTTTTCTCATGTCGTGGTTCCTTATCTGTGCTTCCCACGTGCACATGTTCATCGTCTCTGACCATCGATTATGTGGTTGATGTGATCAGTTCTTTATGGATTTTGTGATGTACATTTTTTTTTTAAAGACTTTATTGGGGAACTGGGGAAGGGGAATAGCCAAGTTGTTGTCCTTCAATCTCAGTTGTGGAAGGCGCAGCTAGCTCAGCTCCCAAGTCCAGTTGCCATCCAGGCGCCCATTGGCAGCTCACGGCCTCTCAGATCAAGGTGCTGTGTTCAATCTTAGTTGCGGGTGGGCGTAGCCCACCATCCTATGCGGGAGTTGAACCGGAATCCTTGTTGCTAAGCGTGCATGTTCTAACCCCTGAGACATCTGGCCTCCCATCGGCAGCTCAGGGCAGCTCAGCTCAAGGTGCCCTTGTTCAATCTTAGTTGCGGGTGGGCGTAGCCCACCACCCCATGAGAGAGTCGAGCCGGCAACCTTGTCAGGAGCATGTGCTCTCACCAGCTGAGCCATCCTGCCAGCTGTTGGCAGCTCAGCTCGGGTGCAGCTCACTGGCCCAAGTGGGAATCGAACCGATGGCCTTGTTGCTCGGAAGTCATGCTCTTAACCAACTGAGCCACTCGGTCGGCCCCGCGATGTACATTTTTTGACTGTATACTTCTGGAATGCGTTTTCCGTCGACTTTCATGGTTTACATTTGTCACCTGTAGCTTTCCCCGCTCTCTTGCATGCTGGCTGTTCCTCAGGTGCAAGGTAGGCTCGAGCTCCCTGAAGGCAGGGCCTGTCATATTGTTCCCTGTTGTCCCCAGAGCCTGGTACAATGCCAGCCCAGAGGAGGTGCTCAAGGCATATTTGTTGGATAAATAAATACATTTAGAGGGAAAACTTAAGCTAATATCTATTGTGCTTTCTGGTGAGGCAAAATATTAAAAAAAACAAAACTATTGCACAGCAATTGTAGGTTTACGGATACATTGCAAAAATCTTGGGCGTTCCCGTGTACCCCATGCCCAGCCCCCACTATCGTTACTGCCGTACATTATGTGGTATAGTTACTTGCACAATGAACAAGCCACTGTCGATTAGCAAGTATTAACTCAAGTCCATGTCCTATCCCGGTTTCCTCAGTCCTTGTCTTAACGTCCTTTCTCTGTCCCGGGATCCCACATTACATTGAGTCATCATGTCTCCTCACTGTCCTCTTGGGTGTGACAGTTTCCCAGACTTTCCTTGTTTTTGATGACATTGATGATTTTGAGGAGTGCTGGCCAGGCATTTTGTAGACTGTCCCTCAGCTGGGAACATCTGATGTTTTCCTCTTGATTAGACTGGGGTTATGGGCTCTTGGAAGGATGACCCTGGAGATAAGCGCTCTCCTCATCTCGTCCTATCAGGGGTGCGTACCATCAGCGTGACTCACCACTGTTGACGCGACCTTGGTCCCATGGCCAAGACGGTGTCTGCCTGCCAGTTTCTCCCCTATAAAGTTGCTGTTTCCTACTTTCCCTTTTCACATTCTGCGTTTGGGAAGGAGGGTCACTCCGTGCCCTCCACACGTAAGGAGTGAGGGGTCGTGCTCCACATCCTGGGGGCAGATGTCTACATAAATTATTTGGAATTCTGCACAGATTTGTCTGTTCTCCTCATTTATCAATTCATGCCCTCGTTTTTATCAGGATGGACTCCCGGGTCCTTGCTTTTTACCTTGGGTTATAATCCAGGACTGCTTTACTTTGTTGCTCAAACCCTCCCAGCCTTGGGCACTGGTAACTGTCTCAGGGGCTCCTGCATCCCTTGGACACAGCCTCGTCTCTACAGGACACTCCAGCCTCTTCTCATGTATTTCCTGCCTCGGGCCTAGAAGCAACCATTTCTCAAGGAGCCCCGGTTCCTTTCAGTGGAGCAGATATCAGAGACCACGCGCTGGGGGCTAGGCGTGCTCCTTGGTACCGAGTTGGTAAAACATTTTTAAAGTCGTCATCCCAGCTGTTCTTGAACCCGAGGGCTCCCCTGCTAAGTCAAGTGCATGTGCAGCTTAGAGACAGGGCCAATGTGCTCCCCAGGTGAAGCGTGTGTGGGCAGACCAGGACCTGCTCTGGGGAGAGGTCCTGAAGGCCCACTGCTCAAAGACATTCAGGAAGCAGCTTATTTACTGCATTTCTTTTTTTTTTTTTTAA